ACAGTGAAACACCTATTGCATGTTTACAAAGGGGGAAAAAAAAAAAAATTATGAACTGAATGGCAGAACACAAGTGTGATGACACTTTTGGTGCAATATTCTTCCACATTCATAAGTTTATATAAAAAGACTCATAAATAATTTTATAAAAAGATGGTGATGACATGTTTTGACATTTACAGTGTTAAAGGGGTCATATGATGCTTTTTTAAAGATCATTATTTATTAAATGTTTTCTTAAGAGTTTTGCATACTTTACATATCTGTTGTAGTCTGTCTGCTTACGCAGATCTCTAAATGTCAATGAAATGTCGGTGAATGTTATTTTGGCATTTGACAGTGCAGATTTTTGTTTTTGTGAGAAATATTTCTTTTAAAAAGCTTTAAATTAACATCACACCTTATTCATGATAAAATCAAATACACAGCTTCTCATAGCTTATTGCTTTAATAAACCAGCACCTCTTTCACTGAAAAAACTGCACACAATAGAATTGCATTGTTAATTCTGTGCCACAGAAACCCAAGCACATGGGGTATGAAGTGACTTACACAGGTGTGTTACCAGCCTGCACATATCACATTCAGCTTTTAGTTGGAACAGTTCCCATGTAAGTGTGTTACTGTGCATTGATTTGCATTTGACCTGAATCCTTAAGGATCGGTATATTAAAATCTGGTCTGAGTGTATATATGATAATAAAAGGCACATTCAGTCTCGGTTCTCACAATATTCGCCCTCCTCAAGGCCCTCTGAGGTGTAAAAACTGTGGCACTGCCTGCTCAGTGTCACTTAGGAGGTGTAATTTATTCATTGCCAGTGTGTGTGTGTTCCTGTGTATCTGCTGGCATGTGTATATGCATGTTGGTGTCTTATTTCCCTCTAAGGAAAGATAAAATCTTCCCTGCTCCCGCTCCTCCCTGGACTGGTGGTTGGTGTCTGATGGCTGTCTTTGGAGATTAGTAACTTTGTCTTACGCCACTGCACTGACCAGGTGTTTACATCGATCAGTATGCTCATTCTGCAAACTAACGCTACACAAAGCCTTTCATTAGTTTGCTGACACTGATTCCTCAACATCCTGACACATTTAATGGGTTTAGATGTTATTCCTGATGTTATAAAGCAGTAGGCAACCCCTAGGTGGTCTGTGGAGGAACTGCAGGTGGTCCACCAATTATTGTTTCTTGTCAAACAAAATGTTTGTGGAAAAATAAAATATAGCTATAAAATAAAAAATAGCTAGTTTCATTGTCCTTCCCACAGTAATGATTATTTTTAATGGCTTTGTAAAGAAAGCATTGTAACAAAGTACTTAAATACATTATTAAAGAGATTGTTCACCCAAAAGTGAAATTTCTGTCATAATTTGCTCACCCTCAAACTGTCTTAAACCTGTAATTTTCATTTTCATGTACTATACCCTTTATTATGGTATAGTACTGCATACATGCAGATAATTTTATTTTGTAAGCTGATTAGGTTTTTATGTGAACAGACATTTTGATCAAATGAAATTGATCAAATGTGACAATAAAGACATTTATAATGATACAAAAGATTTCAGTTTCAAATAAATGTTTTTCTATTCCTCAAAGAATCCTGAAAAGAAATGTGTCAGGGTTTGCACTATTCAACAGTACAGCTGTTTTCAACATTGAAATTAATTAGACATGTTTCTTGAGCACCAAATCAGCTTCTTAGAATCATTACTGAAGGATGATGTGACACTAAAGTGGAGTAATTACTGGAGAAATGGCTGCTGAAAATTCAGCATTGCAGGAGTAAATTAAAGTATATTTTATTTAAAATAAAAAATATATAAAATTGTTGTATTTTACAATATTACAGTTTTACTGTATTTTTGATTAAATAAATTATCTTAGTGATAATAAGTTGACTTTAAAAAAAAGGCCTCACCAACCCCAAATTTTTGAACCGTAGTGTATATCTACCATATTCATTATATTTTGCTCATTTTTCATGACACATGCCCAAATGAGAGGGAATCATAAAGAGTAATGATCATTAAATCAAGAAGTCTGTCTTTGAGAATTGGAGTTTGTTTGAAGTTTTCATAAGGATGTGATGATTGCATTGAGCTCCAGGCTTAATCGCATGAACTTTGAAATATTTTAGTGAAACAAATATCACTTGGGTTTTTTTTCAGGTCATGACGCACAAGATTTGGCTCAATAGTTTGCGTATGCCTTGCCCATTTTTTAAAATCACATTTTGGCTTTTTCCCAAGTCAAGTCAATAAACCTATAAGCTTCCCCAAAGTTTGGGCCTAAAATCTAATGGTGCCTTCTCCTTGCACCATGAATGCATGCAGTGGACAATTCAAGGTACACCATGTCTATAATGCCTTGCCCATTTTGCCCAAAAGCATAGCCTGTACACCTTTCACATTGTTGTGATTCATATTCGCATTTCTCTAAGAGTCAGTAATTATCTTGCTGGCTACTGTTCACACAGCATACACTTACACTGATGCAGAGCAGCAGAATTGAACAGAAAGCTGGTTTCTCAAGGCAGATTTGATACTTGTGGCTTTTAACAAGAAGCTGGGCAAACAGCGAGACACCCAGTGCAAAGGAAAACAACTTAAAAACTTGTGGATAGAAGGGCAGAACCCAACAAGAAAACAAATGTGACTACATTTCTGATGCAATATTACTGCCACAATTTTAAGTTCAATAAATAATTTTATATTTGGATGGTGATAGTATTTTGTAGTTGTCCAGCAGTTGTCCATCAGTTTTAATTTTTGTTTCTTCATGTACATCCTTCTACCACTGTTACTCCTTCATTTTCTGCATCATATGACCCCTTTAATGTTTTTTTTTTTTTTTACTAAACCAGTCTCTACCACTGTTATTTCTGGCATTCATGTTAAATGTTTTCTTAAGGGTTTTGCATACTTTACAGATCTGTTGTAGCCTGTCTGTGTACATACCAAAATTTACATCAATAATGTCAATGAAAATCCAAAAAATATTTTTTTTTGTGAGATACATGAATTTTGATTAAGGTTTAGTGAAAGGTTTGAAGCCATGGCTGTATCAGGAGTCTTTCCTTTCTACCATTTACTGCATGCACCTACAAGTTGGAGTGGTTTGGCTTCACTGATGTTAGCGTGCTGATTCATGCTTCCAGAGAAAAGATGCGTGAGTGTCAGCACACGAAATTCATGGGCATGTTTCTCATGCCGTGCTGCCACAGTAAACCTGATCTCTGCCCAAACCAAAAAATACAACCTTTCAGCCAAACATAGACCTGCTAAAATCACCTCTTCAGAAATAACCTCTGTTTTCCACAGTGTTTTTTTTTGTGTGAAGCTTTATATCATACATCATATAAAGCTGTTCCCTTGCATTTCCTGTGCCAAAGTATTGGAAATTAATGGTGGTGTGATTTTTAACCATTTTCATTTAAACAGACTTAAGCTGAAGGAAAAAACTCTTAACTACACAGAATCTTAGTACACTCTGTTGTGTGCTATCCTGTCCCAGAGATTTCTTCCTAATGTTTCAGACAGTTCATCCAGCACAATGTTTGTAATCCAAAAGCACTCAGGTTCTGTCAGATTAAAGGGAAGACACGTTACTACCCCTCATTTGAGTGAAAAACATGACCTCTCCCATCTTACAGTCAGTTCACCTCACTCACTGTGAAGTACTGCTGGTTCAGAAACCTTTTGAACCTTTTGAAGTCATTCTGCCCATGCTGTTATTTGACTTGATGTAGCAAACCATTTTCCCATGAAATAAACGAACTAAAGAACACTGTTGAAGCACATGTCTGTGTGAAAAAGTGCATGCATAAGCATCACGCAATCATTTATGAATTGTTGACTGCAGAAGTGACCTGATACACGCTCCTACAAACATCCTTGCACCATCTCATTATTCATCTGGTTTATAACCCAGCTAATCAGTCACCAGACCGTGGGAACCAGGTTATTCACATTGCTGTTATGACTTGCATCCTGTTAAAAAGGCACGCACACATATACACACGGTATCAATATGAGGACATTAAATAGATTTCCATTGTTTAATAATGGCAACACAATAATAGTAACTGAAAAAAAATCCCTAGATATTATACTTCATGAATAAGAATTTTTTTTCTTCAAGGATGTCCCCAGATGCCCTTCTAAATGGTTTTGTGAGATTAATGTGAAAAACTCTTTCATAAAGGAAGTTTGGTTGTTTTATTTGAAACGCATGAGTTCCATATAGCCGGCATACCAAGTGTTATACTTTCTTTTATTCTCCTCCTTATATTGTCTCAATATAACACTACTGTTCAAAAGTTTAGGGTCAGTAAGATTTTTTTCTTCAATATATTATTATTACTTGTTGTCAGCAAGGATGCATTAAATTGATCAAAGTGACAGTACAGACATTCATAATGTTAAAAAAATCTATTTCAAATAAATGTTATTTTGAACTTTCTATTCATCAAAGAATCCTGAAAAAAATATGACCGTTTCCACTTATTAAGCATTGTTGTTTTCAACATTGATAATTTTAAGAAATGCTTCTTGAGCAGCAAATCAGCATATTAGAATGATTTCTGAAGGATTATTTGACACTGAAGACTGGAGTAATGACTGCTGAAAATAGTAAATTAGAAAGCCATTATTCAAATAAAAAAGCCTTTATTTTAAATTGTAATAATATTTCTGTTTTTACAATATTTTAAATCAAATAAATGTAGCCTTAGTGAGCATAAGAGACTTCATTCATAAACATTAAAGAAATCTTACTGACCCCAAACTTTTGAACATTATGTAATAAGAGTCTTTCTTTTATTTTGACTCTGTCGGTAAACTAATATGATGTTTTTTTTTTATGTCTGTGCTTCTTGTGCCATTGTTTTTTGTGTGGTGTTTTATTGATATTTTGTGTTTGTCTTCAGCATAGACTTTGACTGTGGAGACCTATATGTCTGTGTATATTAGCTAACCAGCTCTTTCTCTCTCTCCTAGCGAGCGTACACTCTGATCGTGGAGGCTTGGGACTGGGACAACCAAACGATCCCAGACAGCAGTGAGTAATGATTTCTCAACACCTTGACACACACCACCATGCACTTCTGTGTATGCTCTCTCATCAGTACTGACAATCTCTCTCTTGAGAAAGTTTACATCTACATGTGACACAGAAAGTCAGATTTGACATTTGACCTGTCACTGTATGAGAAACACACCAGGATATATTACAGCGTATACATTCTATCTGGAGCGACATACGAGATGTATCCTTACAGATAAAGTTCCTCAAGCCAGTATAGAAGGACTGATGCATTAGCCTGGGGTTTGAAGTATGCTGTGCTTGTATGTAAAATTCTCCGTAAGTTCTGAAATTCTGAAAGTTTGTTAAAGGGATATTTCACCCAAAAATCAAAATTACCTCATGATTTACTAAACATCAAGCCATCCTTGGTGTATATGACTTTCTTCTTTTAGATGAATACAATCTAAGTTATATTAAAAAATGTCCTGGCTCTTCCAAGCTTTATAATGGCAGTGAATAGTGGTCAAGATTTTGAAGCAAAATAAAGTGCATAAATCCAACATAAAAAGTGCTCCACTCGGCTCCAAGGGGTTAATACAAGCCTCCTGAAACAAAGCGATTTATAAACTGTAATCTCTAGCTACTGCTAACTGTTTTGCACGCATTCATGAGAGAGTGTTGTTCCAGCAGATGACGTAGGATGTAGGTGTAGCGTAAGCTCTGGTGAGAATATGCTAGTCTCGTGAGAACCAAGTTTTGTTTCAAGCGAAGGAAAAGCAGTCTCCTCTTGGCTTATGTCGAAATCCTCTTACATTTTTCTTTACAAATCCTCGTTTTGTACTTCTAATTTGTGACCGGTGTTTTGTTTTGCTCTCTCTTTCCACGTTCGTCACTTCCATGTTTGCTTACGTCCTACATAATCCTCTGGAATGCCACTCTTTAGTGAATGCAAGTACAACAGTTTATGAAGTTTTAAATATGGATATTTGTCTTACACATATGCATCGTTTCGTTCAGAAGGGCTTTATTAACCTTTTTATGATAGAGTTACGCACTTTATTTTGCTTTAAAATCTCAACAGCCATTCACTGCCATTACAAATCTTGGAAGAGCAAGGACATTTTTAATATAACTCTGATTGTATTTGTTTGAAAGAAGAAAGTCATATACACCTAGGATGGCTTAGGTGTGAGTAAATCATTTTAATTTTTTGGGTGAACTATCCCTTTAAATTCTCTGCAAGTCTTTCTTAGACAAATTCTTCGTTTTGTATCAAAGTGAGGCTACTTCCTTCAAGTTTTCACTCAGACAGTTGCTGTTACTTTTAGTACAACAAACAAAGCAGATGGCCGATCAGAGCATTAAGACAGAGCTGGATGCCTGTGGTCTGACGTGTCTATGAACCACAAAGGGTTACCGACAGGCCCGTGAAGAATTTGCCTGCACAGAACTCAGCAGAAAATTCTGCAGAATTCGAATGCCTGTCATTCACTAAGTTCTACACATCCTCCCTTACACGCTTGTGTTTAAATATTTTGGCTAAATTGGTTTACATTACAAAAAGATACATAGTAAAGCAGTATAAGTTTAAAGTGCAGGACATGTTAACACACTGTGTGAATGTTGATATGTGTGTGAATGTGTTGTCTTATCCAGATGTGTCCTGTTTTCCTCTTTTTCTCCTGTGGTTCTCCATTGCTCCATAATAGATGATGACTCCAACAGGAAGTACCATTAATGAAGGAATTCATGTTCTGGGAGTTAGCTGATCATTTACAATGTACACTATAAACCCTAACAAGCAGAATACACTCAAAGAATTTCAAGTAATTAATTACCTTGAAGAAATTAAGATTCAATTTGCCATCACAGGAATGAATTACATTTTAAAATATATTAAAATAGAAAAGTTATTTAAAATTTGAATAATATTTCACAATATTACTGTATTTTTTATCAAATAAATACAGCCTTGGTGACTTCTTTTCAAAAACTTCAAAAAAAAAACTTACCCCAAACTTTTGAATGGTAGTTTAAACATAATAAATAAGCCAAATTCACCTAATGTGGTCTTCACAATGAGAAGATAAGTAAATGATACACTAGTGAAGTAGCTGCAAGTGTACTTACGATTAAAATTGTTTGTTTTCACTAGGAATTTCACATTATTGAGACTGGACTGGAGATTCACATATTTGACTGGATGGGAAGAGTTTATGTTAGAAAGTAAACTGTTATTTTATGTGTTTTGGGAAAAAACTAAGTGATGTGGAGATCAGTTAGTGTTAATGTTGCCGCTATGTGAGGGATGTTAATTAAGGGTTGTTATAAGCAGGTTGTTGTTTGGTTGATGGCTAGAGTCTGTGGTTTGGGCAGAAACAAGTTATTTGACAAAACTACAGATGCTCTAAAAGAAGCAAAACCTGACCCATTATATCCAATAACATCTTATTGTATAAGCCAAGTATATTTCTTAAAAGAACAACATTTTTTCTACTGCAAAGTAGTAGTAACAGGTAAAACCAACCCAGGATGGTAAAACGTCTATACTGTACATCCATTTCATGTACAGCTTCATTTTACATCTCTCTAGACACTTTACAGCAGATTTGAGTATTTTTATTGGTTAGTTTATGTTTATTTGTGTATGCATATCTTGTTTGTTGCTAGTGTGCTAGTGCCCTTAATGGGGCATGGAGGTTGTTTTAGCATGCAAATGGAAACTGTTTATACTCAGCGTGTCATGTTTAAAGTCCCTGGAGAGAGTTTTAGTCTAAACAAAGAGTATGAGGTCATCGCCTCGTTAAGACATTAATTACTGTAGCTGCTGGTTATTTTCCACACATGTCTGTGAGCTAATTATTGTCTGAGCAGCTGCAATGCTACTATTCTTCACACTACACGCACACATACAAACACATATACCGCCGCCAATTAGTCATAAAGCAAAGGACTACTGACAGGACTGGCATGAATATACACTCTCACAAATACACACAACACTAACAAGGCACTGATATGTTCACAGACACAACAGTTGGACGGTTGTCATGTGACTTTTTGAAGTTCAGTGCAGGACATTCATTTGCTTCAAATGGAGATTAGATCTCAGACAGACAGACCATGAGCAAGATCTAGTCTGCATTTTTTTTAGATGATCACCCAGATGACATGATGTTGATGTTGAGACATCAACAGGTGAAGAGGCAGTGAGAGGCTGTGAATGTTCCTGTTGCAATTATGGGTGGAATGATGCCAAGAATTAATAGTTGGTCATATTTAATTAATACATAATAATAATAATAAAACTTAATTTTTAATATTCTAATTATATATATATATATATATATATATTAGTGCTGTCAAACGATTAATCGCGATTAATCGCATACAAGATAAAAAAATAACCCCCACATACAGTATATATTTTGAAAATATTTACATGTATTTACATGTTTATATTTATATTCATATAATTTATTTAAATATATTTATAACATATTTTTCTTAAATATATACATGTATATGTGTGTATTTATATATAAATAATAAATATACAAAGCACACATACATAAATTATGTAAACAAACACTTTTGTTTTGGATGCGATTAATCGCGATTAA